ATAGATTAGCCGGTATTGAGTTTGCAATACTTATTAATCCCCTAAAAGATTCCCAGAAATTATCGCATTTTCTTTAAATGGATCAATAGATATATTGTTATAAAAAGATAAAGCTAATATTATGCATTACGTAGCGAATTCTTGAAATAACATATGAAAACATACCAGGAATTAAATAAGAATATAAAGTTTTCCACTGGACTGGAATAAGCAATCGAATATGAATAAGTTGCGGTTATATAATTATTCGTTTTTATTGTCAGAAAGGGGTGGAACATGTAAGATAAGACTACGTGTTTACGTTACGAAACCAGACAAACTTCTTAACAGATCGCATTTAACTTTTAAACTCATATTATCTTAACTAAATTAGAACACAATAACTACATTACGATATTAAGTAACGTTACCATACAATAACATCGGGCGATATTTAAAATTGTATCTGTTGCTATGTTCAATTTATATGAAATGTAAAAACAAAGTAAACATAAAAAACATGTTATACGTTTAATTATATTTACGAAAAGTTTTTAACGAAACAAGAATCAATCAATTGATAAATAGTAAATTTCCAGTAAGATGTTAATAAAAAAAACATAGAAATTAATTAATTATTACACTCACTAATGGCATGGACATAGATTCTTACTTACCTGTGAAAGTGATCAGCGAATTATCTAAATAAATATAATTGATGATTTCCTTTCAATGTTTGAAAATAAAATATCAGGTAAACTGATAAACTACGAGTACGTTGACGTTGCAAAAAATCGCCAATAAAAATATCGAAAGATCGCATTATCGATAACTATAGGTAAATTTAAATATTTTATCTAGCAATAATTAAGGAAAATTAACTGATCTATCAAACAAAACATGTTTTCCTTAATAAAATTATATTAGTATACGGCCTAAAACTTATAGCTGAATGTAATTCTTCTTCAACTTGCCCCCTTACGGAGGGTCAGCACAGTATGTGCTGCTCTTCTATACATCCGTATAAACCCTCATATTTGAAAGCACTCCATTCTTAAGCATTTTCACACAATCCATCCATACTTTCTTTGGTCTTCCTCTACCTTTGTAACCATCCACATTCAGTCTCAACACTTTCTGGTTTATATTTTAAAGCTGAGTGTTATTTTTATTGATTACCACAGCTGAGGCTTTGTACTATTTTAGGAAACATCAAAAATGGACTTATTTATTTATTTACATTAGAAACTTTAAAGGTTTCATAACTTGCAGATAATATTAATTACTATATAATAAAACACAAAACACCTTGTCAACCATGTTTGGTTTTATTGTTTTGATTATTTTTTATGATTTTATAATAATAATGCATTTATCAAAGATAACGCTTAATGTTTCCATTACCTAACCTTTACACAGTACTTTCTACAGTTTTTCATTCTTGTTAGATGTTTATCTAAAAGTGACTAGGTTAACTCGTCTTATTCCACTACATTAAACTGGCGATTTTGTTAGAAAGTAATTTATTAGAGAGTGTAACGAGAATCTTTATCTGCCTATTATAAGTAGAGGTTGTCTAAACTGATTTTAGTTGCATCTTATGCTCTTCTAAAAAGGGGACACAAACGAGTTTATAGAGAAACAATATACGCTTGGAATAGACATTTGTAACAATTTAAGTATTTAAAAGGAAAACTAAAGCTATAGATAGAACTTTGTAATTATTTATACTTAGTTACATTTAAACGAATCTTATCTGTTTACAATAAAATCCATTATCAAACCTAGTCGTTTGTTTATTATTATCTTCAATATTATCTCGGTTAATAATCGAGCAATCACTGAGTTTTCTTTACACAAATCATCTATACATTCTCTCATTTTTTTGCTTAACTTTATATTACATTCTTAAAATAACCCTATATGTCAATTCATAAATTTTAATTCAAACTAGCGAAGATGCTGCTAACACAAAATCGTTATATGCAGGATTTATTATATCTAATTAGATCTATTATTATTTTGAGATTAAATATTTCGTATCAACATATTCTTGCTTACAAAAGAATCAATGACATAACGGTTTGAAACCTCAAGTCACGTGAACACCAGAGCGAGTGGCATTCGTTTAGCAACATTATTTCCTGAACTTTAACTATAGTGGAACCAGCATAAACGTTTGTTGAATTCATTATTTGTAACTCGATACTAAGAGGACCCATTAAATTCCGTTCTACTTTCATTGTCAAGAGAAATACTTACCTAATGTTTTGTTAACATCTATAAAGTGTCACACAGAGCCGGTCCTTAGAGGTTGTTAAGAACAGACTAGAAACGAAAGTGTGTCGTAAATGCATTGCTCATGTGACAATAATCAACGCGATTAGATACAGGTATAGTACCTTATCAAGAATATGCCAAAGTATTCTTATGATCTTAATTAGTTTGACTTAAAAGTAATCTTGCGTTTAGGTAGCCGTTGTATAAGGACTGTTTGCAATAAAAACAATTAAGTACTTGAATATTTACTTTTGATATACGATAAAGCGAAAGGTGTCATCATTATGGCTTTATATTCAATGCAATTTTATTCAAGGATGCGATAAAATTCCGTTTGATTTCGTACCGCCCGCCGCACAGCGCACAGGTCGTTCACGTAATACAATCGGATAAAAAAATTGATTCTCAAACATTGCACTGAAGCATTGGACTTTGACAATAGACTGGGAATGTCGATTGTTCAGCATTGTACAGGTTATTCGGAATTGTTAAGTAAAGACGGATGTAGTTCCCAGATTACAGTAAACTTCACAACAATACTTTTCTCTGTATTTGAATTAAAATCTACATATATGTCTCTAAAGTAGTGCGTTCATATATTCTTAATTTATTAATAAGTTAATCTTTGCAATCTTTGAAACTAAGAGTGCCATATTGATCAATACCTACTTAAACTTTTAGAGGACAGCTATCGCGATCTTTCTAGAATATAGTAAAAGGAGATCACAGTAGATATATTTTTATATGTTTGGATAGTGGGCACCCATAGGTAAACGCGGACGGAACACATAGCGTCGAATGTGGCCAACAGCGCGGTGACGTCCGTAACTGGCACGAACTGCGCATTTTCCTTTAACCGTCGTCATTGTGATGGCTGCGAACACATTTACTATGAATCTATAATAAACATACAATAGTTTAATACAATATGAAAAGGGGATCCTGGTTGGAAAAAACTGTCATCTTGACCAGTGCATATAAGATGTATGGAATAATTAATAGCTTTGCTGCTGTTATTCATTTCCTAATGATAAAGAAATTGATTAAAATTGCAGGTCGTTATACTACATTTCTATTTTCAAAGAAAAAAACATAACTTTACAAATTCGTTCTATAAGACCATTAAATTTGAATCGAACTATCAAGACTAAAGTCAATGCGTTGCCAAAAACGTGTTTTTTTTTTCTTTTTTTGGACACAATTAATTTTAATTTTCACACAAAGAAATTACCTTCATTCGTTAAATGGTACGTTGAGTCAATACTTGCAAGATAATTTGTTCTTCCCCTGAATCCAGTTTACCTAAACATGAATTACCTATACTAACTATCGTCCTAGACTTCGTTTGCGCAAGAATAAAAAACAATTAGTAGCCTATTTTTTTTCCTAGACTATGTTTTACATATATGAAAAACTTCATTGACATCTGTTGTGCCGCTTTGGCTGTAAACTCTAACATACATCCATCTAAACATTCGCATTTATAATAATAGTAAGAAGTGCATTTCGTTTAAAGTAAATATAACAATGATGTAAAGGATTAACAAGGTGCATATTTTTAAAATTACTTTAATAAAAAAATGATAGTGAAATAATAAGATACTCCAAAATATTAATTAAGCATCACTTTATTAAATTCTCATTTAAAAAACAATAAACATTATTTGGTATCCAAAAATACTGGCGTTTTAAAGGACTGTTCCTAATAATAAAAATACTAATAATAAAAAGGGCCTGTCCCACCACTGGCTGGTAGAGGTTCAGATGGCTTAAAAATGACGACACTGTCATATAAGGGAACAATATCCTATATTTCCATCACATATTTTACATGGATTGTTATCAGACAATTTACAATTTGGTGGGACAGGCCCTAAATGCTTACTGTATCCACATAATTTATGGATACATTGTCTATATCTTAACATACATTGGTAACTTATTAAGTTAATCAAAACATATAGATAAGTAAATTAAGAATACAACTTTTAAAGTTTGGTTACATTTAATACATGACTTTAATAATAAAAATTTAAAACATAAAACAGGGAATGAAATAACGATGCAAATAAACGAGTGACATCAAGTTTTTATCATTCCGCTCCTTTAATACTTGTATTAAAACATGTTGTTTTTTTTTCCGTAGACTATGAGAACGACATGTTTTATACATGTGGTTCAACAGTGGAAACCCACTGTAAAACTTATCGAATACCTTTATGGTACTTATACGATATGTAGGCGTCGACGCCGTGCACAATGCCCACTACAACGCCAATGTACTGGAACAATAAAAAAAATAATTGTTATCAAATTAAACATAAAAAAAACTTTTCATTAAATGATAGCAGTTTGTTGACTTTAATTAAACATTATCGAAGAAATTAAATACGCTAATTGTGTATGATATTGAAACAATTTTCTCATATTTTGAAATAATTAAAAACTATGTCAGAGATATTATTATTTTTTGATTCAATAATTAATTTCCAAATTCTTAATTTATAGTTTGTCTCATCAGCGATGATGCACTGATCACAGAATCGTTTTTCAATTATTTTGACCAAGTATTTTGAAATACATCTACTTTAAAAAACCTGGAAGTATCATAATGTAATACATTCAAGATAAGTCTCCCATTAGCATACGCGTGTGTTTAGAAATTTAATAGCGGACGTCACTCACGTATACGGCAGTCATTGCAGGATATGCAGCGTACATAGTAGTAAATAAATATTTCGGGTATAAATATATGTTGACAGCAACACCCATGTACGAGGAGGCTGACAAATACAAGAAGCACGCTACAGCATTAAACACGAATTCCTGAAAAAGAAACAGAAAAAAATGATTTCAAATTTACTATAAAATATAACAAAAATGTCGTCGTTATCCTTGCAAGTTATCTAATTTCGCGGTAAAATTTGTATCTCATCATATGATCAATATCTTGATTTGTATATTTTAAGTAAACATATGCCTTATATCGCTTTGATTATTTACTAAAATCCAACAGTATATTATATTTCCCTATAATTGAATTAATGATATTCTTAATGACGCGCATGCTTATTGCATTCACGTGTACAATCATTACAACACTTTTTAATTTTATTTGAATTATTAATTGCCATTTCTATCATTACGAATATTCCCCATATCCTTGAACAACACATAAAGTTGTACTCTATTCTAGTTTCCGGAAGAATAACAAAAAACAAAAGAGTCAATAAATGACGCCCATCAGTTATATTTCAAAAAGCAGTTGCATCCTGTATCGCCGCTTCACAGGGAAAAGACAAGATAATTATACACAGCCGTAAGCTAAAAATAACTGAACGTCTTTGTTGTATATAGAAATAAATACAGTTACCCCAACTTAATTTAATCAGAAAGTCATAAAGTTTAAGTGCAATACTCGTATGCACCAAACCAATCGACAGCCAACATCGACAGCTGATAGCCGACAGCCCTGCCCAATTACCATTATTTTTAATCATATCTATATCTTATGATAAGATCGCAATACGTGATTAGAGGTAACTCAAGTGTAATATTCACTTTCAGGGCTTAGTCACGTCTGCAAATCATGACTTAATACCTAACTAAAATACTCTGTTGCTACAACATTTTTGCAAGTCATCGTAGACGTTTTTAAGCTTTTCTCCCTGCCCTATGTGAGTCCCAGGTTGCTAAAACTTTCTATTAAATTATTATCGAAAATAAACACAGGTATTAAATAAGTACGTAATTTTATCTCTTACTAGAGAAGTAAACTTACGAATATGGATTGTCGTATCAATTGTTGTGAGTTAGAAGAGAGTACGTAGCAGGCAATGAGAAGCGACGTGGTAAGGAGGCACGCTGATGCTGTGGTAAGAAAGCTATGGAACGCGGAGCCCATAGCACTGGCTTCCGACATACCGTACTTCACAAGCAAACTTTGACAAAGGCCACCTAACATCTGAAATGAGGCAATATTCATTTAAGTTGCGATTAAGAGACAAAAATACGAACTAGAATTTTTCCATTCGATCGGGGAACCACTCTAGGGAGATAAACTGGCATAAAACGGGAAGCGCAAATATTTAATTCGATACTTACGGCTTCAGCTAGTTTAATAATGCCGTGCTGTGACGTCAGATATCCGAAGTTGATGCATTCACAGCAGCGACAGCAGCAGCACTTAACACCTCCCCCGCTGTGTCCAGCGCTAGGCGCCACACGCACTATCGTTGGCCCACGGGTCATTTCTCACACCTTATATTTCGTTTCGTTTTCACGGATCACAAACACGTCTCACCAAGACTAGGAATGTCCACGGGAAGTTCACTAGGGTGAATGAATTTCACAATTTACAGTCAACGTTAGTCATGGTTAATATTTTTAGTTCTAAATTCGCACACCCAATTCAAGATCGTTGACCTTAATGTTTACTATTGTTATAACCTAAATAAAAATTGGTTCTTCTCCAACTAGCTAACATAAAATTTAATGGTAAAAGTGCGTCTGAACAGTATGGAAGATTTGTTTGAATGTTTCCACCGGCTGTGCGTGGCCTCCCGTTCTAAAAATATATAAGCGCACGCGTCGTGGAGGGTTAATTCTATTTTTACCTTACTGTTTATAAGGTTAAATACTCATCCCTGTATCCTGTACCACAAAGAGATAGAGATTCAATTAAATTTCAGCCTTATAATGCTTCAAATAAAGACGAACTTTAAAGAAGAATTTTTAGAGAGTTCCTTTAGTCGTAGTTGCAAATCTGAACTGTTTATAATAAATAGTTATATTTTACTTCGTTGCTTTGTTACTATTACCTCATATTTCGCCATCATCATTGGCAGATCCACGGATTTCCACATTTTTGTTCATACAGTTATGTGAATTATTAAAATAAATAAACCAATTTAATTAAGAAATTACAAATTTTATTACACATTTAAAAATAAGAACATGTCTCATCACAAAGTTATAATATCAACAAGTATTTTAGAGATTACAAAAGGTAGAGTCATCAAAATCTAACATTTGTTAATATATTTAGATAATTGAAAATGTATAGCATTATCAAACTTTCTGGTATGTCGAAAATAAATACAAGAAAAATATCGATTTCATGCACTAATACTTTACCTCGCCTTCCATTTTTTTAAATATCGATATAAAATTATAAAGTACACAGAGTACATATTTATAAAATTTTAAATGCAAAACTGTTTTCCTATGTATTTAAAAATGGACTGACATTATAATAATAATCGTATAATTTTATTGAATAAATAGATATTGTGTATTCTTAGAATTAAAAGCTTTAAAACAAATAACTTAGTAAAAAAATATATTAAAACAAATAGAAGACAATATGCTGTCGTAACACTAACCGCATTTAAATTGTTAAGCGTAAATAATAGGTAAAATTATTATCTAAGCTAACCAGTTCTTAGCCTAAGTAATAAAGAGATACAAATCTTTAATTAATGTGAAAACAGGACTATTTTGTGCGCCACAGCGTTTTTTAGACTCAATGTTATTTGGAAATTACACAACAAGATTAATATTATGAACATCTGGCAGAAATTCGAGCTTTTTCCTTCAAAAATCAAATATGGCACAGACAAACGTAGTAAATGTATGTATGAATTTTCATACATAAATAACTCTTAAAATACTGAAGGCGTTTGTTTTATTATGTGGATACTGATGTTACAAGGTGTAACGCATTGAACAGCTTGTTGCTAGCTAGTTTCCTCTTAACTATTGCTGATTATAAATGCTCGTTGTGTAATATTACACCCCGTTACATCGGTCAGTACCTTTACAAATGATTAAGGCGACTCAATAAACTAGTAGTTAACATCTTAAATACCACGGTATGTACGATTTGCTAAGAAAGTGCTAAGTAAATAAAGACCGGCCATCACAAGACCCATCACCTGAAAAAAAAATGTTTAAAAATCATTACTTTTACACGTATGACAGAAACAGTTTAATTGAAATCTGATTTTTAAACTGTAAAGGTAAGCATTAAATTAGAAAGTGAAACATTAAATAAATAACTAACAGTAAACTTCTTTTTTAATATTCTTAACAAAATTAGGATAAAACTTGTTTTTCTCCCTGATAATTGCTTATTAATAAATTTTATGGTCAGTTTCATTTTAACCATTCTTTAGTGTTTTTGGTTTGACAACTTCTAAAAATGCGTTTCCGAACTATTATATGTAACTTGATTTTTACTCCCTTGAAAGCCAGTTTAATTACTCATTAATCACTAACGATAAAATAAACTTCAGAAACCCTGCATTAATGATTTATAACTGGCTTTTATAAACTCTCAATTTTTTAAGAGAAATTGTTATTTGTATTTAGAAAAGTCAACTTACCGCTGCAGCCAAATAAGGTTCAAAATCGTTCCGATAGTTGTTTTTCTGATGATTAACTTCAATTATGAGTGTAAGACCCGCTGCTAAGTATAATATGAACGCCACCCCGTGATATATCACCTCCTGAAAGTGAAAAATAATAATTCAATACCACTAGTTACAATAAAAAATCAAGTAAAACACAAGTACATAAAACTGCAAACGTGTATCAATTAAAGCTAAACTCATATTAGGTTTTCGTTGTTCTATATAGAGAAGATTCTTAAGTTAGGTAACCTTAACTCGCACATTGTGCAATTTTTCTTTATTTATACAAGGTGTAATATAATTTAATATCAAAAAACTTACGTATATAGTTTTTGATATCATAGAAGCAGTAGAGAAGGACACGAGGCAGGCGGTAAGCAAACAGAAGGTGCCGACCAGGCAGGCGACCGCCACAAGCAGGAAGAAGAGCTCCGGCTTCTGG